ATTTTTTTTTGTTTAAATTTTTTGGTTGCGATTTCTTTAGTACATTGTAGTTTTTATTTTTATCTAGTCCTTGGTGAAATTGTATGAATATCTGAGAGTTGATTATAATGGTTAGCTACGGATCCCTAGATTCGTTTTTGGTGTTCCTTAAGATTGTACTTTCTACACTGGAACTGAATATAAGTTATCTCTAGAAATAGTAATAAGTAACCAGGTTTATTACAGATCCCTCTTTCTACCTAAGTGTGAAAAAACTAATTCTTGATCTCCTACTAATTAAATAAACATGAATTATCTCTAGAAATAGTAACAGTCTTATCCAAATCCCAGTTTTTTGAAAAGTTCTTGTCAATGTCTATTTTTTTCTCTCCCTTAGTTGGAAAAATCATCATCAAATTTCATGGTGATAAATTCAAATAGGAGAAATATTGATTTGTTCGGTGTTCATTGAGTTTGGTAGGTATATCCATACTGCAAGTTTATGCTCACAAAAGTCTTAGAAGAGCGAAGAGAGAACATGAGTTTTTGTTGATGTGCTTGTGAGCTAAATAAGTTGCACATAATCAATATGCTTGATGATGGAAACATAGGAACCTGGTATCAAGTTTGTGGGTTTTGTATTTATAGAGACACTAAACTTTGGGTGTGGCAGACATATATAGTTGTGTGGGTAAATTTAAACAAAGAAAATCAATCAGCAAAGAAACATTGTTTACATTTTTTTATCTCATTTCAAAGTAACACATCAAAATGAATGTACATCATATTCTATTATACTGTCGTGTCGCCTTGAAACAAGCCAAACCATATTTCACATGCACCATGTTTGTTTAACTAAGCCATATCCAAGTTATTAGTTTTAAATTTAATAAATGAATGTATTTGAGCTAAACCTATATAAGGTCTTAAATAATGTCTCATTTGTGTCATCACTTGTCAATGCATAGATTTTTTAGAAAATTGTATTAGTTATCAGTTTGGCCAAATGAGTGGTCAATTCATCCTAATTGATGAAATCTATTACTTTGGCTTGAAATTAAAAGATAACTAAATTCTTTCATATTGATTTTTCTATGAAAAGATACTTAACCTGAATCCTAGTGTCCTAATCCCTTATCCTAATGTTCCTAGTGATAAAAAAATTTTATAATGCATAATACCCAAATATAATTTCTTAGCACAATTGAAGTTGTAATGTTTACACGCCACACACAAAGAAAAAGCCTGCATGCTAGGTGCTTTTGACCGAAAAATCCCCTTCTTTTCCTGGTTTTTATTGTCCCTTTTCCATTTCCTAATTTTTGTTTATATTAATTACATAATCATATATAGGGAGTTGATACAATGTTTCCTTATCTATGCCAAAATCTAAGGCCTTGGATAACGATTTGTTTTTTTAAATCTCATAACACTTCCTCAAGAAATACTTGGCATACATGATCTATGATTCTGATACATTTGACACTGTAATATTGTTATATTCATCAATCATCATTGCACTTAAATAGATCTTAGGATCTTCAGCAGTCATGCATTGAAAAAGTAATAGAAATACCAAACTGAAATTCTATAGCAAATTGAGGATGTTAGTTTTAACAATCAAAGTTCATAGGACCTCCGTGAAATACTCCAAAAGTTGAACGACTAATAGTGTAAATGTACCCCACTATTTAAACCCTCCCCATAAATAACCCCCATAAATTTCCAACTCTTTTCTAATTTCATCATTTAATTTTCTATTTTTTTCTCCTCCTCTCTTCTCTTCTGGCAAACAAATTAACCATGTCAAACTTATATGGTCAGAACTTCAAATCCTCACCTGCTAGAGCCCATTCTTCCACACACATTTGGGCCAACACAGATGGTGGGAGGTATAATCTTTCTTTCACTTCAAGATTTTATTTTCTTAAAAGCCTTTTGTTTAATACCCACTTTAAATTTCTAATTATCGTTGCTTTTTGAATTTTATATATGTTTCGGGTGTTATAATATACCTTGCAGCTCATACCTGGAAAGTCTCTTAGAAGAGAAAGAGAAGGTGGCTTTCTATGTACATGACATTCCTATTTGCAATAAATTGTTGAATGAAGGTTCGGATCTAATTCTTCAATTTGAGACGTTTTATTTCCTTGTATAATTTTATTGTTTTTATCTTGATCTTGTAGAAAAAAAAACTTCACTTTAAGTGAGGATTATTGGATCTTTTATATCCATCTGGTACATGTTTCAAATAATCTTCTAAGGCTATGTTTGGCAGAAAAGCTAGTTGGTAGTTGATAAGCTAAAAAGCTAGCTTACAAAAAAAATGACTTTTGGTAAAAACTATCTGATATGCTAGAGGAATATATAAAAAAGACATGTAAAAGAATATTTTTTCTATGATTAATTAAGGGTATATTTGGTAAATTTTAAAAAAAGGCTCTTAAAAAGTTAGTCTAAGTGGCTTTTAAAAATCTAGCATATCAACTACTTGTTAGCTTGCCAAACATGTCAATTTGAAAAAAAAAAATCGAAAAATAAGCTAGTTGTGACGTGCCAAACACTGCCTAAATGTGTATTGATTTTATGCCTCTAGTGGACCATAGTTAGATGATGTGTATATTTAATGAGGAAAATACAATGTCAATGGTTTTTTTTCATGCTAAGATGACGTGGATATAACCATTACAGTAATGACAACAAACTATTAGCGGTGGACGGTGGTGGTGGTAAAATGACGTGTATAAGACAACATAGGACCGTACGAAAGTTGTTACATTCTATTTAAAGTACATCTATAGATGGAATATCAACTTTAAGAATCATTTAAGTTAAATAGTTATTCAGAAGCAATCAAATATCCAACGTCAAACCCGTGATAATTGATACTATTTCTATCTTTATTTTTGTTCTTATTATCTTTCAGGCTATTTAGTTGTTTCATTGTTATGATGATTATTGGTAAATCTATTATAAATAGGTTTTTTTTTTTTTTTTTTTTTTTTTTTTTTTTTTTTTTTTTTTTTTTTTACTTAATGGGCTTGATAAGTTAAGCACTTAATCTGGAGAGCTACACATGGTTGTTTCTTTTTTCACTTAATCTAGATATGGGTTAAGCTAAAAAAAACTGGCTTAAAGGGTTAAGAAACTAACATTTTATCGATTTGCATTTCTTCTTTTTTCCTCTCAAGTCCTCTCACATTAAAATTGATAAATATTGTGAAATTTGGTTTTGTGGAATTGAAGGGTAAAATGGTCATTTAATCTGAGGCAGCTTATTTACTCTAGAAAAGAAACATGCATCGTATACACAACACTCTATCCACACAACATCATTACCCATTCATCCACTTTACCCGTGCATGAGTTGATGGGAGAAAAAAAAAAGATACCGTTTGTTGTTTATATACTCATTCAAGGTAGCATTTAATGCTAGCATTTTTGCTGTTAATCTTTTTTGGTACGTTGAACTACTCATGGCTTAAATAGTCATCCCTTTGGTAAAAAGAACTAACATGTAGCCCGCAATTACCTTTCACTATATTTTTAAAAGAAAATTTATTAACTGTGAATAACATTATTACTTTATTTCATCAACAGAGATATTGAAGATTTCTGAGATGATACCCAACCAGGGTTATAATGACTTTGAAAGACTGCAGCTTGGAAGCCCTAATCGTTTGAATCATAATTTAGGTCATTGGGATAGAAATTCTCCTCTTCAACATCAGGTGAATATATATTTGTGCTCATATGGTATTCTTTCCATTTTTCTTATACATAGCAAAAATATAATATGATAATATTTACCAACTCTTCTCTTTCGTATTATTAAGTTGACTTGATTAACATTTGAGCATTCGAGGGTATATTAGTCCTTAAAAATCTAATCTTTGATTTAGGATTCGCCTTTCTTTAATCAATCCTTAGAATCTTGTTATATTTTTCAGTTAGAAGTACAACATGTATCAAGATGTCACCAATAACAATCTTACTTTTTAACTTGTTAAAATTTCGGGTTTCCTTTTACATATTGATGCGTATTAATCCATTTTATAATTTAAGGTAAAAAGTGTTGCTTTTATAGAAGAAAAAAGAGGAATTTAGAGGTTTGAAAGACCATTGCTTTTATCTCATTTCAAGTTTATATCTACATTCACCTTCATGCTTCACTTGAAACACCACAACATCGATATATACTTTTTACAAGTTTGGTTTGGCTTCATTTATTTAATATATTTTTAAACATGATTTATCCAGACAACACTACAAGGACCTCCAATTGGTCATGGCCAAAGTTCCTTACTTACAAAGAAGTTGGTACGCTTGGATGTGCCTGTTGATAGATTTCCTGGTGTAAGTAATAAAAATTGATTTACTTACATATTAAAATAAGATGGAAAATGTTTATTAATCTCCTGGATATCAGTTCAACTTTGTGGGAAGGCTCCTTGGTCCTAGAGGCAATTCCTTGAAGCGAATAGAAGCTCTCACAGGATGTCGTCTCTTCATCAGAGGAAGGGGTTCCATGAAAGACCCTAACAAGGTACAACTCCTCTAAATATCATTCAATGCATTCATCACAAAACATTAAAAAAAAAAAAAAAAAAAAAAAAAACCCTATTTTGATAACATTCAACCATTAAGGAGGAGCGTTTGAGGGGAAGACCCGGCCATGGACACCTTAATGAACCACTTCATATACTGATCGAGGCGGAATCACCTGAAAATGTTGTTGATGGAACACTCAAACAAGCACAGGAAATCATCCAAGAATTGCTCAAACCTGTGGTATGTTTTCACTTTTCAGTATCGGTGTCGGTGTCATTGTCAACCTGCTAACCATTTTTTACTTGTTTCGATTGCAAGAATTATTCTAGGGATCTATACAAAAGGCAACAGTTACGAGAACTGGCTACACTGAAGTCCCTCTTTGGAGAAGACAACTCTCAGCCCAGTAGCAGTAAATTTCCATGTGGGTGTGGCGCAATGAAGTGCACCACAACCGCTAGGAAAGGGGCCATGTAGTCCTTTTTCTCATGCATAGGGTACAACCGGTTGATGTATGCCTATTATCGAGTGGTCAACTTCTACAATCTTTGCTGAAAAAAAAACAAGTAAAGGATCTATGTAGTATGTACAAAGTTTGTTCGCATTTTCTTTTTCTTTTGTTTTATTTTTAGTGTAGTTATGTTTGCTTGGTGTTGTTCGGTCTTTTGAACCATTGTTGATTGTTTCTTTTTTTTGGTTGTTGCTTGTGTTATGTATTATAAGCTACATGTTTGTTTTGTGTGATGTGTATATAGTGTCTAATAAATAGTTTTTAGCTTTTATATAAGGTTGTGTCTGTAGAGACGAGAGATCAAAGTCTATCCCCACCTTTTTCCCATTGTTTGTGAGACAAAAAACCTCATTGACATAACTTATTGTCCGAGATGCATGCCAAACAAAGTGCACAATTCTCATGTTATATCATGCTTTCTCATGTGTAACAAATGTGGTGTGGACCAATCTGCCAGGTAAAGGGTTGTGTATATGAGAATGATTGATCGATCGAATCTTTTAATTTCTTAATTTAGTGTTAGCTTTAACTCTTGTTATGATTAAGTGATTTAAAATTTACTTATTTTACTATTTTTAAATTTTTGGCTCATTATTTTAAACATCAATGTTTATAAAGTAATGTAATGTAATGTAATTTATAAGTTTTCTTGTATTTATCTAACAAAATAAACGAGTTCCATGACTTCCATTTTTATTGGACATTCAGGCAATAAGGTTATGTTTGAAAAAAAAATTAAGTTCTCTTATAAGTTAGTTTATTGTAATTTGATGTTTTGGTAAAACAATAAAAATTGATTATTGTAGTTTATAAAGTAGTTTATAAGTGAAGAGAGTGTTTACTAGTCTCTAATTGAGTCAAGGTCTGATTGAATCATGCACAACCCATGACTAAGTAAGAGATATATAAGAAACATCAGGACTGAATCAAAGGTTTCTAACATATGGTATAAAACATTTTGAATCAACCGAATCATACTAGACTTTTATAAGATTAATAATTATCATATCATACATCCTCTGACTTATAATTAAACAAGCTTCTAATTTACCAAACATGGCCTGCTTTAGAGGCCGTGAAGCCTAATGGATCACTGGCCCAACAATAAAATCATGATTCGATTGAGATTCCTAATTTTCTTTGAAACGAAATCAATTTTGGGGTTTCTTTTCAAAAGCAAAATTTGGTTTCGATCTCTCTTGTTCCTTGACCATTTTCAATTTCAAACCCTGATTTTTGAAGATACTAGTTTTGATCTCATCAGATCGGAGCAATTTTAAGATGGGGAAGATTCCGGTGAAGATCAAGTCGGTTGTGTACGGCCTGTCACCGTTCCAGCAGAAGGTGATGCCTGGTCTCTGGAAGGACTTCACCGGTAAGGTTACACACAAGGTCACCGATAACTGGCTCAACACCATCCTCCTCGTCGGTCCTGTCGTCGGCGTTTACACGTAAGTCTCAATAAGAATACCAGCTTCTTCATTTTTAACCGATTTATGTTCATATGTTTGTTTCTATACATTTGAATAACCTAAATCTCTAATTTGCTTTAGCTTGAACGTTTTCTCCTGCTTCTGTACTTTCAGTTTATTGTAGTCTGTGGTGACTTTCTATGGATTTGTGATGAGTTTATTATGTTATATAGCTATGGATTTGTATATTTCATATGTGATGCATTTTGAATTGTACCCTTTTCCTTGGAATTGACTAGAAATAGATTCAACTTAACAATCTACATGCTTAAATCTATACGTGGTGCTCATTTGCAATATGAGAAAAGGGTTAATGTCATAAATTTGTGCACAGGCGATAGAAAATGCAACTTGCATATAAGTTAGCACGAAGTTTATATTAAACAAGTTAATTGTGTGTATTTGGATTCAAAAGAGAGAATTTTTGTATGATTTGATCAAAAATTGTCAAAAGATATACGCATCACAGGCAATGTAGATGCTTTTTTATATCCTTTAGTTAGTAACTTTCTTGATGATAACATATCTGAACTAACTATCATCAAGAAGGGATTAAAAGAAAAGAAAAAAAAACTCTTATTTTTTCTTAAGATTTTTCATGTCCTGGATATTGGTATTGACTATCCTATGTGGGTTTGCAGGTATGTTCAGAGTTACCAGGAAAGAGAGAAAATGCACCATAGGTTCTAAACACATTCTACATTGGTGTCATCTTTCTTGAAAATGAGAAAGAGAGAGATCAATGCCTCTTTCCATTAAATAAACAAACATAAATTTATATTGGGGATTAATAAGCTTTTTTTTTTTAATTGTGATGAATGGAGCTGTATTTGCTAAGCTCCTAAACTACATCTTTTGTTACTATTCAATTTGTTTTCTCTATTCTTAATTGTCATAACTGAAAAAGAATCCTTTCGCAACATGTCCGAATGTTTATATATATATATATAATATATATATATATATATATATATATATATATATCCTTTGGGCTGTTTGTTAAATCGTGATGAATGTTGAACTGAATGGTTCCAATACCTTAATGGTTAAGAGAAGGTAATGTTGCTTAACTTTTCAGAAGCAGTTCCAAGGCTTTTGATTTGTTCAAAGCTGTACCAAACGCCCTGAATGCACCTATGAACGGTTTCATTCAGAAGTTACCAAACGGAAGTTTTCATTTTTTTGCTTCTCTTTATTCTGTTGCCGCTTGTGTGTTTGATAAAAAAACATCAGAACTAGGGGTGCAAACGAGTCAAGCTACTCGTGAGCTACTCGAGATCAGATCGTTAAAAGCTCGACTCGAAACCAATTTTAAACGAGCCCGAGCCAAGCTCGAGCTTAATATTAAGCTCGTTTATTAAACGAGCTCGAGCTCGAGCCTATGTCACTAAGCTCGATTAGGCTCGCGAGCCTAAACGAGCCTTTATGTAATATAATTTATTATTATTTTTATATATTAAAATAAAAACATATTTGGGGATTAGGGATTCAGGTATTAGTCAACGAGCTTCTTAACGAGTTCGAGCCGAGCTTAAACTTATTTAGGCACGTTAGACAAAAAACAAGCCGAGCCCGAGTCGAGCTTGTATAATTATTTACGAGCTCGAGTCGAGCTCAGTGCAAGAAGCTCGAATCGAGCCTCGTATAACTTAAACGAGCCCGAGTCGAGCCTGACCAGACCCGGCTCGTTTGCACCCCTAATAAGAACTTACTAGATTAATTCACGTGTCCTCATTAAGTTGAATATAAACAACACTTTACAGGTAGGTTATGTTAAGATTATTGTTTATAATCATAATAAAAAAAAGTTATATAAAAAAATCAAGAAAAGCTTTGAAATGCCAGCCTGAATGTTTTGATACAGATTTGAAAAATGATATATTATGATGATGCAAACATATTATTTAACCTGTCTGTCTATTTTTGGCTTTTTGGCATCTAATATTGTTCTAAGATGATAAATGTTCATGAAAGAAAAATTCATGGAATTTTTTGGGTGCATTATTTTCCTACAAGATGAAAGAGGCACTTTAAAGATCATTTTTCATGTTAAAAGCGTTCCATTGGAACATAAAAATGTAAGTAAGTGGTCGTTTGATAGAGATTCTGATCGGGTCCAAAGCTAGGACTCGGCCCACATTTTCCAAGCAATGTTTTTGATTTGCTTCAAACCCTCTTGACTCGGTCGTAACTTCTGATCTAGGCTACCACTTCTCTTCTGATTCTGTCTGGAAGAAAAATCAGACTGAGTTTTACTCTTCAGTTATGGACTCGATCCTCGGTTTAAGTGTTTGGTATCCATTTTTGTTTCTGACTCTATCCAAATTCCAAGCCTCTAACCCAGTCGGTTTCTAACTTAGTTTGTAACTATCAAACGACCATTAAACTGTGTTCGGAGGTGTTTGAGATTTGTTTACTTAAACTGCTTATTAGCATATTCAGTATGATACTATTAGTAAGATAATTTGAATAATTTGACTACTTAAAATAATTGTGGTTATTTTGGTAATGGTAATAAACATTTATGAGTTAGCTATTTTATCTTTAACTTATTAGTTTATTATGATTGATATTGTTAATAAAGACTTTTGAATAGGTTTTTTTTTTCTTTTATTTAATTATATTAGCTTAGTTTTGTATTGTTAATAAACACCTTTGGATAAATTGTTTAATCTTAATTTATTAGCTTATTGCGGGTTTATACCTCTAATAAGCACTTTAAGCGTTAGGTTGCACAGTTAGCTTCTATAAGAAACAATATATCCATTGCACTTTGGTACTATGGGGGTGTTTGTTTTAGCTTATTTTTTATCAGCTTATTTTTTGGGCTTATAAAAAATTAGTGTTTAGGTTAGCTTATTAGATTTAGCTTATGAGCTTATTTTATCTAAAAATAAGCCAAATGAAAACAATTTTTTTTTTCCAAATGATTCGTTTATTTGTCTATATTTACATATTTACCCTCAACCCTAAATAACTTTTATTTTCCCAACACTATATTATTCTTCTTTAGTCATTTTACAAAAATAAGTTAATCCAAACACTATTTTTTAAAAATCTTTATTAGCTAATAAGTCATAAGCTAATCCAAATATTTTTTTATCTTATAAGCTAATAAGTTCTTAAGCTCTTAAGCTCATAAGCATAAGCCCAAAAAAATAAGCTTACACAAACACCCTCTATAGAACATAATCCTTTTTTTCTTTTGAAATGTGCATTGTAACCCACAATTAGACTCAATGTAAAATATGATTACTCATTATGACAATTAAAGTAATTGACCTAATTTCTCGTATTTACTTTAATGACCATCATGCCCGAAAAATTACATTTTTGATTAAATCAAGTTTGTTTAGATGTGTCAATAAGACCATTGATATGTGACATAAAATAATTTTGTAGTTTGACATTCGTGCATTATATAAATCAGTACATTTCATTTCAGGTTGTCTTTTTCTACATATTGTATAATTTGAACTCATTATATATGACACATTGATACGTGTATGTGTTGATGCTTGAGGCGGCCTCCATGGCGAGTCCCAATAACCACTTTTTGTGACACTTTTGTGATGATTCCTTGATTATCGTGAATACCCTTGTATTGAGTTTAACTCCCCACTATCCATATTATCACGCAGCATATTTATTCATTTAGGATCATGGTAAACCGCAGGCACCAATGGTTCCTCATTTTTAGTATTTCCTTTACTATTTAAATGTTATATATTTGTATCTAGGAGAAGAATTATTAGTAAAATATTTATGTTCACGATTCTTATTTTTTTGGGAGATTAGCCATCTCGAATTGGTCCTATCTTGGAGATTAGCCGTCATACCTAGGGGTATCAATTGTTGACACGACACGACAAAAATACACGACACGAAACGAAATTGGGACGAAACTGAAATTCATATTCGTGTTCGTGTCGTGTTCATGTTAAGTGTAAAAAACATGATGTCGTGTCATGTCGTGTTCGTGTTTAAGATGCTTCACGAAATTGAAACGATTTAGCATTTATTTGTCGTGTTTTACGTGTTTGTCGTGTTTTTCGTGTTATGTATGATTAAATATTAATTAAATAAACTAATTTTTTTATTACCTTATCTTTTTCGTGTCGTGTCGTGTTTGTCGTTTTTAATCGGTTCGTTTTCGTGTTAGTTAAAAAAACACGACATCGTGTCGTGTCGTGTTCGTATTACATAAAATTGTGCCGTGTCGTGTCGTGTCAGACAAAAGCACGATACAATGGCCTGATTTGCCACCCCTAAATTCATACCCGAAAAATTACATTTTCGATTAAATCAATTTTGTTTCGATATGTCCATAAGACCGTTGATATGTGACATAAATAATTTTGTAATTTGGCATTCGTGCATTATATAAGTCATTACATTTCATTTCAGGTTGTCTTTTTCTGCATATTGTATATTTTGACCTCATTATATATGACACCTTGATACGTGTATGTGTTGATGCTTGAGGCCGCCTCCATGGCCAGACCCAATAACCACCTTTTGTGACACTGTTATGATGGTTCCTTGATTATCGTGAATACCCTTGTATGGAGTTTAACTCCCCACTATCCATATTATCGCGTGACATATTTATTCATTTAGGATCATGGTAAACTGCAAGCACCATCCTCATTTTTAGTATTTCCTTTACTATTTAAATGTTATGTATTTGTATTAGTATTTCCTTTACTATTTAAATGTTATGTATTTGTATTAAGGAGAAGAATTATTAGTAAAATATTTATGTTGACGATTCTTATTTTTTTGAAAGATTAGCCATCTCGAATTGGTCTTATCTTGAAGATTGACCGTCTCGAATCGGTCTCTATCACACCTCATAGTCCTTATGCATTGCAAATTATACTTCTAAGAGTCTAAATAATAGCATATGTCTGAAATCCAAAAAATATATCGTGAGCACAACATTTTTGTCCTCCGTAATATTATGTTTTACTACAATCTAACAAAATAAAATAAAATCTATAAAAACCACATAATATTCCAACAGAATCGAATGCGCTTTATGCCAATCCCATCTTAGATTAAAATAATTGAACTTAGTTTGACTCAGTTTGTTATATTAAAACTTATTTTCTAAAGCATGTTTATAATGGAATGAAAACAATAGTGATTCATTTTAATAGCCTTTGGTATCGATTGAAATAATTTTTGGATTCTAATACAAAGATATAAAAATGTGTCATTTAGTTGAAAACTGTTAATACTAAACATTTCAAACTTAAGGGACGATAAATATATTTTAGGAAGTATTTAACGTAAATGAAAGCAAACTATAAATTATATATGCTCGAAATCCAACATGGAATCATTTCGGTGTTGATGGGCATTCGGTGTTGATGGGCATTCGGTGCAGCAAGGTGACCCCTTGGGCCCTCTTCTTTTTGCCCTCGTTTTGCACCCGCTTGTGCACAAGATTAGAGACAATTGTAAGCTTCTTCTCCATGCTTGATATCTAGATGATGGGACTGTCATTGGGGATTCAGAGGAGGTGGCTAGAGTGTTGAACATTATTCGGTTGTATGGTCCAGGCTTGGGTCTTGAGTTGAACATCAAGAAACGGAGATTTTTTGGCCCTCCTGTGATGGTAGGAAGCTTCGTGCTGATTTATTCCCAACGGATATAGGGAGACCTTCTTTGGGGGTGAAGCTCCTTGGGGGGGCTATTAGCAGAGACGCAAAGTTTATTAGCGGGCTGGCCATGAAGAGAGCGGTCAATGTTGTTGATTTGATGGGCCTTCTTCCCCAACTATGTGACCCACAGAGTTAGCTCCTTTTGCTCCGATCATGTATGGGCATTGCAAAACTTTTCTTTGGTTTAAGGACATGCCAGTCGGTACACATAGAAGAGGCAGCTTTGTTCTTTGACCAATGATTGTGCAGGTCTATCGAGGATATGGTGGTATGTGGAGGCCCCTTCTTTAGAGACATTCAGTGGCGCCTGACTTCCTTACCTATTCGTTTCGGTGGTTTGGGTTTGTACTCGGCATACGAGGTTTCCTCCTACGCATTTGTAGCCTCGAGGGCCCAATCTTGGGCATTACAAGACCACATCTTACGTGACAGTGACGTATTTGGTATGGACTCGGATTACCTATGTGCTATGACTCGTCTTCGCGATACGATTCCGGGATTTGAATGTAGCGGTTTCACTAATAAGGACACCGCCCCCCCTAAATCCCAAAAAGCTTTGGCGTGTGCCCTTTTTAGCAAAATCGTCCAAGATATGGAAGTCGACTTCAACATGACTGTCAGACAGAAAGCAGTCTTTGAGTGTCTGCGGGCACCTCATGCTCAGGATTTTCTGCTAACTATCCCTATTGATGGTCTTGGCCAACATATGTCTCGTGTGGAGTACCGAACTATCCTTCGTTACCGCCTCATGATTCCCATATTCCCAATTGACGAGATATGCCCAGTTTGCCGCAAGGCATGTTTGGATACCTTTGGGGAACACGCAGTTCATTGTAGACAGCTCCCTGGTTTCAAGTACAGACATGATGTGGTTCGGGATGTTCTCTTTGATGCTTGTCGGCGTGCTGGTATTTCTGTGAAGAAAGAAGCGCCAGTGAACTTTTTGACGGACCCGCAGGATGGAAGGTCCACATTTAGACCTGCTGACATTTTGGTCTTTGGATGGATAGGAGGGAAGCATGCGTGTGTGGATCTTACTGGGGTCTCCCCTCTCGTTGGTTTGGGGAGCGGAGGTTTCACAGCAGGGCATGCCGCTTTGAAAGCCGCTGCGTGCAAAGTGGTAAAGCACGAGAATGCATGTATAGAAAATCAACATGTGTTTGTACCTTTTGCATTCGATACATTTGGTTTTCTCGCACCAGAGGCGGTGGAGCTCCTCAATAGAGTCCAACCGGTCATGCATTCTAATGTCATATCTCCTAGATCCACAAATGTTGTTTTCAAAAGAATTGGTTTTGCCATCCAGAAATGGTTAGCGGCGCAGTTTGTTGCCCGTTTACCTTCAATCGATATGTATTGAACTTTTATTTTTCAATCAATTGGCTAGTTGGACCAAAAAAGTAAAGTCATTTACTTTAAATTTCAATTATTATATGGTATTTTTTATGAATACCCTTTTGTTAAAATAGTATAAAATATAAAAGAACATGTTGTTTTATTATTTAAATATGAATATAATTTATGTTTACTTTAATCAAAATAAATTATTTCATTAATTCATGATTCAAAATACCTAGTGGATATAATTGCATGACGAAAAAAAATAACTTTCAATAACTAACGATGACCTACGAAATTCTTAATTGACTTTATTCTCATCATAATATTTAAAGTTTTCTTGTAGTTGAACGTTTTAAGTGTATATCAACAAATGGGTAGATCACTTCAACAGTTGTTGTTTACGTGTATATTATGTTATATATATATATATATATATATAGATATATATATATATATATATATATATATATATATATATATGTGTTCTTAATTTTTAGAAAAATAAGTTGGTTGAAATTTTTATCAAAGATAATTATGGATGAATATTTATAATAGAGTACAAAATAATCCACCATTTTTTTAATTTATGATATATGATATTTTTATATATTTAAGAAAAGCCATTGATTCCCTAATTAAATAATTTGTAGATACAAAGGATACATTTTACTTGATTGGTGAAATACAAAACTATGAACAGTCAAACTAGTTGGCTTTGGACTCCGCTCGTCCCACATCGATCAGGAGAAAGAACCTGATTATTGTTTATATGGTGAAGCTCTGCAACCAATATCGTTCATTCGGGGACATCCGATAAAATTGGAACGATACAGAGAAGATTAGCATGCCCGCGCACAAATCGACAAATGGTCCAAATTTTTTTTATACCCCTTCGCCGAAACCCTAATTCTAGCCTGAACGCCTGAGAAATTTCTTCGCTGAAACCCTAATTCCCCTTCTTTTCCTTAATGTGATTTCAGCAACCGTCATCAGTGAAGTTTTTTTTGATTCATTGTATTTTTTTTATTATACCTCGTTATGTTGTATTAGCACTTCGCCGAAACCCTAATTCTAGCCTAAACGCCTGAGAAATTTCTTCGCTGAAACCCTAATTCCCCTTCTTTTCCTTAATGTGATTTCAGCAACCGTCATTAGTGAAGTTTTTTTTGATTCATTGTATTTTTTTATTATACCTCGTTATGTTGTATTAGCACTTTCAGAATGAAACACCAGCGGAGAGGCCTTTGGTGGATTTTGAGTGTGTGTACACTTTTTTTGGTTCGTCCTCATGTGCACCAGGTATCGATTTATGAAGCTATGTCTGTATGTGTTTCGTTTACGCGCTGATGTTTGATTCACTTTTGCAACTTCAGTTTCTTAGTGTCATCTAGGTAGGCAGCCTCAGGCGCATCTTTGCTTAATTGATATAGGAAGGATACTACCATGCATTTTAGGTACTAAATTTGTTGATTTGTGTTGTCATGCGACCATTTGCCCAATGCCCACCTGTTGTTTGATAGAATTTCTATATGAAATGTCCTTCTTTAGCACGATTTGATTGTGGGTATGATTGTAGTGGTTGTTATAATGTTGTGGTTTTGCTGTATACAAAATAATTGATAATGGGGTATCATCTGCAAGTTCATGTTGGTTTTACATTTCCGTTCGTTTTCAAATGTAGACATTGATGGGAGATATTAAAGTGAAATTGTTTTGTACACATGGATGTGTTCATGTAAACATTTAACTGACAAAAAACGAGTTATAGTAAAATGTTGCATATTTATGTAATGAAGATCATCAATCATATGAGTTTTGGACCTTGAAACATTGGATTTGATATTGTATTACCATGGCCTTTAGGGTTTGCTAGGGAATATAGAGGAAAGTAGAGGTGGCAAACTGGAAGAGTTGTGTAATGAGTTCAAATGGAGCAAGTACTTTCAGTCAAACAGGTCAGCCACATTGATTTGTCAGCATGTTTTCTAAATAATTAAGATGTTATACCTGATTACATAATTATACTATTAAAATATCAATAAACTTCTTCAATTAAATGATTTATGATGTATTTTTTTTTTGAAAGAGTGATTTATGATGTAAATATTTGAATACACTTTGAGTGATGTTTGGCTAATTCGATCCATTTAACCAATTTCATTCTTAGTTAAGTTCTTAAGTTTTAACCATCTTACTCCTTGAATATGCAATATAATCCACACTTAGATTTTTTTGTAATATGTTGGAATTGCTACCTTGGAAAATGTTTGTAAGCTCTTCTTGTGGCTTATGTGAAAAGTATATGATATAATTATCAACTTGTTTTTCAATAGATGGGTAGAAATATTTTCATATTTCGAACAAAGTGCTTGTACAAGTCTTTTTGTGGCTTATGTAACACCCCTAAGTTTGCCTTTACTTATGTTGGGTATCTCAAATATACTAACAAATTATATATAACTTCTTTGGGGTTTCCCTATAAACTAATTTATCTGATCTATTAAAAAATCTATTTTAAGGATTAAAAAGGATATGAGATTTAGCAGGAAATGGGTACGTAGCCAATATGGAGCTCTTTTTGGCATGCTTAGTTTCCTTTTACTAAAAATATTGGTTGTCATCTATGCCATTTCCATCATCCATAGTAAGTATAAATTTTATGTGCTAAGTGCTATTTTCAGTTTTGATTGGTGGCAATCTTCTTATATGAAAACATAACTAAGTAATTAGTTAATCATATTAGTGAATATATAATTAAGAAATATTAGAAACAATGGATCATTAATTTTGCTTGTCTAATTTGTTTTAATTAGTAAACTATCAGTAAATATTTGTATGTATTTTGGTGTTGATTCAATTTTGTCTCGGATTATGTTTTAATTAGTATACATATTTTGGTAGTGTTTGGTATGCATTAACCAAAGAGGGAAAGGAATGGTGTGTTACTATGGAATGAAAAAATCATGTTTGTTTAACACACAGAAAGACCCAGATTTGCATTCCATGGGGAAGGAAAGTTTTTTTCTCCATTCCTTGATACTTTGAAATTTTTAATATAAATTATTTTTCTTCGTATAATCTTCAATAATAGTATTTTTTTTTAGAGAATTTCAAAGCTTCAACTAAACTAACTTTTTTAATTATAATTATATTTTGAGATTTCATGGTATTTTGTTTTTACAAAAGATCTTTATTTTATTAAAGTTTATTTCCATAAAATCAACATTTATTTACTTATTTATTTATTTATCATCAAAGGGCATGTAGCCTAACGGTATCAACAATCAAGTATGCTGGAAATGTGTCCCTAACCTTGGCCTCAACCAATTTGTTAAGGGTTCAAGACTGACGAGGGACACAAATGTAGATTCATGAGTAGAAGCAAAATTAGGGGGTATGTGAGTTAGATTATCAGAAAAAGTATTTATCAGCTTATTTATTTTTAATTTTCTAATTGTACAAAACAAACATGTTCAATGACTTAAAGTCAACCAAACATGGCAACTTAATGTAATGATCCATTCCATTACTTTGTTCGTTCAATTCCATTATACCAAACACACCTTAAATCCATGTTATGCAAACTTCTATACTTCTATACTTACGATTTCCTTTGTCATTGACATCTATACCCCATCTTTGCATTGTAGCGTGTCACTGTTGTCCACTTGGCCAATGAGTTGTGTTAAGAGTGAATATGTATGTGTTTACCTCTCACACTCATGATATCCTCCCTTGACCTTTTGATGTGGGGTTCGAGTAAGTTTTGTCCTTGTGTTAAAAGCTTAATATTTCTCGATCAGAGTTTGTTAGCCTTTGGATTTGGGTGTTGCATGTTTCATTGCATACCTTTTGACTTTAGCATGTGCATACATCATCCTGAGATCTCTACATTGAATTGAAGCATGTTGGATGTGAACATGGAGCAACTCCCTTTGGAGTGTTTTGTTCCCAAATGACCACCACTAAGTCACCTTGGTGGTGGATGCTAAAAGCAATTACTTAGCATATGTGTTGATATTCTTGGAGGTATAGTGATTCAGTAGGCCACCTTGGTTTTTCTTTGATGAAACTAGTTCCTTGTTGGGACTATTTTTTATATTGATTTTATTTAGATAGCTTCATGGATTTATTATCATTTGGTTTTCAGCTTGAGCATTTGTTAAACTAGTTTGATTGATGTTATTATATATTTATATGGTTGGGAGAATTTTGTTATATACTTGTACTTTTTAGGGGAATTAATTTAGAAATGCTTTCCATTGATAATTATGTTATGAATGTTTTCCCACTTAAAAAATTATATTTTATTTTGTGAGACCATTCGTTGTTTTGCAAAATAACAACATTACAAAATGTGAATAAATAAAAAATATGAAGAAATAGTTTTGCAAAATCAATTTCATAGTATTGAATAATTATTGTGTTATAAAAGATAGATAAAATTGTGTGGTTGCTCCATATGGTTTGGCAAACAGACTAAGGTCATCCGTTGTACCCACCACTAACCATTAGTGGTGGGTGTCATATCATCACCACTAACTACCACTAAACATATAGGATATCCACCACTATCACTCCATTTCACATCATTTTTTATTTTTAATTCAAAAATACAACTTTAAAATTAAAAAAAAATAATAGAATTTTTTAACTAGTTTTTCATTCAATAATAAAGAAATATTACATTAATATTAAAAACAAAATTACGAACTAAAAAAAATAAAAAATAAAAAATAAATAAAATAAAAGAACTAATCTTTGTTCATGTTAAATTGGTACAAATGATCCGCAACATCTTCGCGAAGATTGAAACTCGTTTCACCGTTATGAATTTCAACAACTCGTGCTCAAAATTCAGTCGTTTCAGGTACGAACTCTTCAACCGATATGACAATGTCGTCCAGATCATACATGCAAATCGTTCGACCTTCATCTTCAATAATCATATTATGCATTATAATACATGTTTCGACCATTCGTTTAATTCTATCTTTATCCCATAGTCGTGTAGCGTATTTCACTACATGTCATGTCTGTTTGAGGACTCCAAATGCCCTCTCGATATCCTTTCTCGTTGATTCCTGCCTTTTTGTGAACAACTTTGCATTTTCACTTCGAGGAAACGAGTATGCCTTCATAAATGTAGAATAATCAGGGTATATCTCATCACAAAGATAGTAACTGTATTTGTACGAATGCTCGTTCACCGTGAACAACATATCAGGTGCTTTGTCGGTCCAACTATCGTTGAAAATATGAGACTGATCAAGAACATTAATGTCGTTGTTAGACCCCACAACTCCAAAAACGAATGTTATATCCACAAATCTTGAGATGCAACAACTTCTAATAATCTAGTTGGCTCACCTATATCACATCGCGTAAATTGATCACGCCACACATTTGGGCATTTTTCCCAAGCCACATGCGTAAAATCTAGACTACCAAACATACCCGAAAATCCATGCCTCTCTTCATGAGCCAAATATAATCTCTCAATATCACGTGGAGTAGGTTTACGCAAATATTCTTTGTGAAAAACCTCATACACACATGCACAAAACCAATCTACACAATCAATTGCGGTCCTCTCGGATACATTTAAGTACTCGTCAGATGCATCAAATGTTATACCGTATCCCAAATACCTAAGCGTAAGCGCATATTTTTGTATACTAGAAAACCCCATTCTTCCTCTAGCATCGGGTTTTTGTTTAAAAAATCATAACGGGCATCCAAAACATTACTAATACGTGAGAATATAGCCTTATTTAGACGGAAAGGACGTTCGAACGGATCATCATTGTAAAGACAATTATCGGCAAAGTAATCACATACCAATAAGTTGTGTGCGACTTGGCGATCACAATTGACGATCGCTCTTGAACGCGCAGCATTCGAACTTTCTTCATCGTGAATGTGTTGCACAACGTTGAAGAAGGTCGAGATGAATTCCCTGTCATCATCCAAGTCAAAATTCTTAAAGAAATTCATGTATTTTTGTTTTAGAGAATGAGAGTGTAAAATTTGATGAAAGGTGGGTGTAAAATTTGATGTATTGTGTTTATATAGGTATTGAGTTTGTACTAAAAAAATAAAAAACTTCAAAATTGGAAACTTAAACGGTCAAATTCTTCAATTTCATCCGATTGGTCGTTCAATCTCGTCGTAGCCATCACGAAACGCAACGACGACGACACACCAGGACGGTGTGCACGATCGTTGTTTGTGGCCACGTTTACCACAGACGTTTGCGTTGTTTGTATATTGTATGGTCTAAGATGGTGTTTGGCTAAGCTTATTTAAAAGTGTTTATCATTTTTTAACTTATAGCTTATTAGCTTATAGTGGTGTCAAAACCGAGTTTTTAAAAAAGTGTTTGGATTAGTTTATTTGGTATAAAAAACGTTATAAGTTGATAAGCCCATTTTAGTGTTTGACAAAAAAAAAACTTCCAAGATATGTTACACAATAAGTTACAAAGAGTTTGATAAGTTAAAGGTTAGTAACTTATCAAAAACGATCTGTCTCTCGTTCCACACCGTTATAAATTGTTTTTAAAAAACAGTCTTTCCAAAAACTCATTTTAACTTATATCGGTGTAGAACCAGTAATAAGTTAAAAAAAGTCATTTTTTAAATCAAACACCTCTAATTATGTACAACTATCAAATACACTATGTGATGGTCCTTGTGGTTTCATTTCTTGAGTGAGTAGTCCATGTGGTTTTATTTTTTCCATAATTGATTTGAAATTACGATTTTACTCTTGATTAGATTTTTTATTAATTTATTAATTTTTTTAGTTTAAAAGAATAAATTACAAGATTCGTCATTGGTTTAAGTATCAAATTGCGCGTTTCATTTTTATTTTCAAAAGTTAATTCAGATTGTCACTTATTTCCAATGTTGTTGCATGCTTAGCCCATGCCATGTATAAATGACTATATTGGTATTTTCTAATTTTTTTTTCATGTATTTTTCATATGTTTATAATTTATTATATATATATTGTTTATTTATAATTTTAGAAAATAAAATGGCTTATATCATTGTCATCTTTATATTCGCTCTCCTCTATCAACCTTTGAGAACCACCTCTTTCAAACCTCATCTCGATCATCGGAGTAGGCGACCTCATCGAATTCGATGACCTCAACAGAGTAGAGAACAAACCAAATAGGTGGTGAAGGTTCAAAAGAAAATGGAGGGTTTCTTTTATTTATATTTTTTTATTGAAAAAAAATAATATATATATATATATATATATAGATATATATATATATATATATATATATAAATGGAGGGTTTCTTTTATTTATATTTTTTTATTGAAAAAAAATAATATATATATATATATATATATATATATATATATATATATATATATATATATATATATATATATATATATCTATATATATAAAGCAAAGAACAAACCAAATACGTGGTGAAGGTTCAAAGGAAAAGGAGGGGTTTCTTTTATATATATATATATATATATATATATATATATATATATTAACTGAAAAATAAATAAAAGAGTAAATTACATGATTTGTCTGTCGTTCAAGTTTTAAATTGCATATTTAGTTTCTATTTTTAAAAATTAACTTGGGTCGTCTCTTATATCATTAAAAATTGCATGTTTTGTCCCTTAAATCATTTACCAAACAAAAAATGTCTATTTTGCCTTATTCCTTTATTTTTTATTTATTTTTAGATTGTTATTATTATTAATTATAATTTAAAAAAAAATCAATAAATAATTGGGCCCCACCCTTATATATATCCCTCTTCTTCCTTTTTCTTTCAAGAACCACCACCCACGTGTATATTCTCACGCTCATACTCTTCACCATCTCCGACGAGATCGCCATCTGTAACGCCCCGTTTCTGCTTGTGAGAATAAGAGGAAGAAAGAGGACTTCAAGAGAAGATTGTAGATCCAAGAACAACATCAGCTTCTCTTCACTTTCTGGTAATCAAGCCTCATACTTGACTTGTAGTTTCTTAGATCTCTTTGTGGTCATCTTTATGAGGTTTTGGGTCCAAGGAGCTTGATCCTTGGGACTTGGACGTCCCAAGTCGATTTGCACACAGATCTGGAACCTTGGAGGGTCCTCATGGCATAAAGGTGTCATCTTTATGGCCATGAGAACCCCAAGAAGGAAATAAACCCCATTTTTGGTCCTTTGAGCATAAAAGTCCCATGCATGAACGCACTACAAGAAAAAATCATAAATAGCTACGGAAAGTTACTATGAAATCAAAATCCGTTGCTATTTTACTACGGAATATGCTACGAAACGACTTGTCGTAGCTATTTTGCTACATAAATGGTTACGGAATTGCATTATGTAGCTAAATCTTAAATAGCTACGTAAAATTGTTACAGAATCTAAATTTATAGTTATTTTACTACGGAATATGTTACAAAATGGTTGGTTGTAACTAATTTGCTACG